AGCCTTAGATTTTGCACGCAATTCTCAAGTCTCCTGAGGCTCCAGCAGACAAATGTTAATTTTGTACTCCTGCAAGGCCAAATTCAAGGTCAGAAATAATCATTCCACATTCACAACACACTCTAATGTTGGGTAATTTTGAATTCTCAGGATTTTAGATGGCCTTGCCATCCCTTATCTGCTTCCCAAAGCTGGGTTTAACTGCTCACATCCACATAGTGTGCATATCCCGAACAATGATTTTACTATGACATTCAGCATATTTCCATGGGAAGGTCATGGATATGGACTGGTTATCAAATGAAGGACTGAAAAGTGACGTGCATGTTTAGCATTCCACTCGTAGAAAGAACCAAACAGTTTCTTGCCTTGCAGCCCACCCTTATATACATGATGCATTGTTCGAGATAAAACATGCACTTTGGAATTTCATCTCTTGAAGAGTTTTTACACTAAAGCAAGCCACATTTTTCTCACTGCACCATTAGCAGTGTCACACAAATCAGGGAATTTTACAAAAGGGAAAGGACATTTTTACAGAAAAGTTCAGATCAAATTAACAAACAAATAAATAATCTTTATTTACTCTAGCCTTTAATGGGTGAAACCCTGAATACTAAAAATGATTGGATATTGATTTTAAGTTTTTATTAGCAATATTGGTTCAAATTTCAGTTTTATTTGTCTGTGGGCTCTACAAATTTACAGTTTTTTTTTACTTGTCAAACAAGTAACAAATATGCCTTTAAAAAACACAGTGTTATGTGTTTACACCTTGTATGAAATCACCCAGTAGGCGCTCAGTCAGCAGGTTTTCGGTGGCTGCAGTGTGTCTTCTTCTCTCATGTATCAGAGAGAGACAGGAGGCAGAGCGAAGCCTGAGGCGCAGTGTGCGGTTTGGCCAGCGTTAGACTGGGAGAGCATCCAGCTCCACGGGCCTGAGGCTTTCTGATGAAGATCTTTATTTTCAATCCAGCACTGTGCAGACAAACTTTCCTTTAGAGGGGAAAGCCTGCATTTTAACTAAATGAGAAATCAGACACCAAAGATGAGAAAAACTAACAAATAATAATAATAATAGTAATACATTCATTACACTCCGGCCAATTTAGCTTAATTAATTCACCTATAAGTGCTTGTCTTTGCAACACAGGGAGAACATGCAAACTCCACAAATGAAATGCCAACTGACCCAGCCAGGGCTCGAACCAGCGACCTTCTTGCTGTGAGGCAATCGTGCTACCCACTGCGCCACCATGACTGCCAATAACAATAATTATTATTATTATTATGTGTTTTATATTTGCTTAACAGATTAGTTTAGGTTTTTCAAATAAATATGCATCGATTGTTAATATAGTTTCAATTATCCATCTATCTATCCACCTGTCTGTCCTTCCATCCATCCATAAAAGATAGGAATAACTAACAAAACTTCAAATTGTCATAAAATATTTATTAATGATCATTTTTTATCTTTATACTTTGCCACCATTTTTCATCTCACAAGTTTTTTCATTTAATTTAGTATGATCATGTACTGGATATTAGTTTATATTTAAAAGCTCACATAAATAAATAAATACATAAAATATATATATATATATATATATATATATACATATATATATATATATATTAGGGGTGTCAAAATTAATTGTTTTTTCAGTGCACCGTGATGCTGACGCGGAAAATTCGATATTGGTTCAGTATTAATCATAATCGGTTAAGTTGGTTTTGTTTTCGATATTCCTGACACATTCAGTTATAGCGGCAATAACTCAAAAACCTCTTACTCTAGAAAAGATCTAAAGTGTGTTTCCTACAAAAAGACAAAGCTAATTATGTTTGACAGCTGTCTTTTTCTTTTCTTTTGCTTTACATTACGACCACAGCTCCCTTGTTTAGCCGGGAGAGCTTGCGCGGAGCAGAGCTCTCAGTAAGGGACCGTCGGAGAAGTGCTTCTTTTTTTTAGTTGTTTTTTTTTTTTGCTCCTCTCAGCGTGAGCTCTCCCGGCTATTGCGAGGGCTTAAGTGTGTGTGTGTGTGTGTGTGTGTGTGTGTGGGTTTATTTTCTCCATATATTGATATTTTATTTTCACAAAAGTTATTTGAAAAAAGGTAATACAGTACTTACTTTTAACATGGAACATCTTTGACCTACTGTATATAACTTTCACACAGACAGACAGAAAGCCTTAGCAAATCTTAGCAAGCATCTAAAAAGACTTTGTTTTACATAGTTATTCAAACTACACAAGATTTATGTTGCTTCAAATTTCAGACTGATTTCAAATTGTTTTAAACAAATGCATGTCAAGCCGTTTCAAGTCTGTCTTGACAAATCTTCTTTTTTCTAGTTGCAGTGTTTTACCTGAACGTCTTTGCGCAAAAACACAATCTCAATTTAAAACATTCAAAATAAAACAGTCATGTTAAAAAGGCCACAAACAAAACCTTGTCTTCATCAAGATCACTTTGTTAGGAAAAATATAACTAACCTCTAATCGCTAGCACAATGTGTCAATTATGTTGCAATAATATTTTTAGAACAATTTGATTATGTTAAAACTCAAAATTTTTGCCACAGATCCATTATTCTCAGAACAACTGCCATTTGGAAGCTCTTATCAATCCTGTAGGTTTGGATGTTTGTCTCTTTGTGGGGCTGTTTTCTCTGGTTCTTATTATTGCTAATGTGGTAAGTCTCTGCTCTCCTGATGGGCCCTCATGAATCCCACTGTCATAAAATCAACTGACCCCCAGTGGTTTCCTTATATTCTGACAGCCATTACTGTAGCTCGTCCTGTGTGGCAAGACCCAGAGAAGCGATACTAAATCAAAAAACTACAGCATGGGAAAAAGGGCTATAATGTATCAACCTGTTAATAATACCATAATGCAAAAGGAAACACATAAATGCACACATAAAGACAAGCGCACCCCCCCCCCCCCACACACACACACACATTTTCTTTTCTTTTTTAATTATTTACCAAATGATGTTTAACAGAGCAATGAATTTTTCACAGTATGTTTGAAAATATTTTTTCTTTTGGAGAAAGTTTTATTTGTTTCATTTTAGCTAGAATAAAAGCAGTTTTTAATAATAAAAAAACATTTTAAGGTCAAAATTAGTAGCCCCTTTAAGCTATTTTTTTTCTTGATAATCTACAGAACAAACCATCAATATACAATAACTTGCCTAATTACCCTAACCCCCCTAGTTAACCTAATTAAACTAGTTAAGCCTTTTAATGTAACTTTAAGCTGTATAGAAGTGTCTTGAAATAGTCAAATATTATTTACTGTCATCATGGCAAAGATAAAATAAATCAGTTATTAGAAATGAGTTATTAAAACTATTATGTTTAAAAATGTGTAAAAACAAATCTCAGCTAAACAGAAATTAGGGATAAAATAAACATGGGGGCTAATAATTCTGAATTCTGACATAAAACTGTATGTATATACATATAGGTGCATATAATATATACAATTGCATTCAGATGCTGTGAGGTCTATTTATTGTATTTTTCGTATTCTGGATTTTAAATGAAATTTTTACAGCAAAAATACAGTAATATTTACACTGTATTTACATCAATATTTCACGATGGTATACTGTTTTTACTGTGTTTTTGTTCAAAGTAGTGCAGCCTTATTTACTATAATGATATTTTTAAAAAGACAGCTTACTAAGCTAAATCTGTACAATGTGGGTTGGCAACAATTACCATATATTTTAGTTTACCATGATTTACAGAAGACATTGACTAAAATGTCATTCGACATAACAACTGCTTATATACTGAATTGTCGGTTTAGAACAAATATTATTTGATGACATACTAAAATAACTCCATGTAAGGATCGCAGTGCCAGAATTCATTGATATTAGGAATCTATACATTACTGCTGTCCTTCAAACCACTAGGTTTTGCCCATCTGTGAGCAAGAAATGATGAATCATTTAAAATATAATAAACTTTGTGCAATTGTATTATACTACTTATACATATTTAAATACACAATATAACAATTTTAGATATTTTTGTTAATACAGGTTAGAAGAATAAGTATGCTGTTTTGTACGTAAAATATGTCATAAACTGAATGACAACATTATTTGTAACATCATGAAACATTATTTTACCCATATACAAGTTATCTGAAACACTAAAATCGACACTTTACTTGCATTTATTATGTGTTGCATATAAAACCACTTTTATGAATTTATTTTGATGCACACACCAAAATAAGACGTCAACATTGACTCATACTGTATATGCTTAAATATATTCTACAACCAACAAAATGACAGATTATTTTATCATACATCATTTTATTTAAAGCAGTTATTTTAAAACTGTTTTGTGAAAACCTCAATATTTCCTTTATTTCTAGTCCTAAAGTAAATCATGTTCTTTAGATTAAACAAACCTGTCTTTACTAGTGCCCATTCAGAAGAAAATCCCAGCTAAGTACCCCATGAAAGTATCCCCTGCTTGAGGATCATTATTATAGAATCATGAGATGTATTATATTTACAGACATAATCGTAACAGACTACCACAAAGAATTCGCTGAATTATCACCATCACAGTCATCCAAAAACAAACTTAAAAGAGAGCGAGGAAAGGGTTAAAGTGTCAGTCTCAGATCAGAGAGCATACGAACACCTTTCAGCATTGCTCAGGCAAAATTACAGGCCCTCACATTCACGCAACACTACCTCACCACCAGCAGCAGCAGCAGCTCCACTCCTCACAGCCTGCTCCAAAAATACACGCTCACAAAGCCACAGCTTCCTGGAGCTTTTTTCATGCATTTGACACTCCAGATGTTACAGACCCTACAAGCCACAGCTGGAGCCAGCATAGATGATTTACAGGTTCGAGAACAAGCTCCTATCATCCATAAATTCCTATTCTGCTATAAACGGCAATGGTTAAATCGATCCAAGTTGCCGAAGTCATGAGGAAAGCTTGTTCTTACCCTTCGCATGAACGGATTGGTGTTCCTGCAGCTTGCGGCAACCGAGTCCCATGCTGGCACGCGGGCGCCAAAGAGGGCAGTGCTACAGATGTGTCATCCTAGTTACTGTACATATTTGGCCCTCCTGAAAGGTGAACACGCAATATAGGTGTGTGCCGCCCGGGAGAATGCGATTGAGAAAGCATAAAAAATATGCATGGAAAATAAGCGGCGCAAAAAATCAGAACCCCACAGTACCATCACCGCCACAAACCCGAAAAACAAGTCCTCCGTCTGCTTCATTCATTCATTCAAAAAAAGAGAACTTGTTGTGTTCTCTCTCTTTTTTTCCCAACCTTTTTCTTCCCCGCCCCCCTGGTCTGTCAGACTCGCCCTTGCTCACCCTCATAGGCAGAGCCACCACAAGTGCTCATCTTTGCCAAACACTGCAAACATTGCCCCCCCCAAACACAAACAGACCTTGCTAATCAATCTGTGTGTATGTGTGTGCGCGATAATGTGACTTCACATGGGGGGGATGAACATTTCTGCACGCACAAATCTCTGCATGTTGCCTGGATCTTTTCCCCCTATTAAATCTAACGGCTTATTAATTAAAACTTCCCCCCCTTTGAAGACATTTCGGGAGACCACAAGGGGCTTTATGTGCTACACAGATGCTTTTATTGCACGTTGCCAGAAGGCTTTAGATCAGAGCTTTTAATGTACCAAAAGTGCAGTCTTCACAGACAGAGCGTGATGCTTCTGTAAAGACATGCTCGGATCAGACCTCTGTTCTGCAGTCTGCAGTCACGCTTTTGGGTTGAGAGCAGGCGTAAATAGAGCCATTGTTTGAGTGACTGGTATAAAAAGAGCAGGACTTGTGAAAAGCGGGTTTAGGTTGCTGTACATAACAAAACACCATTACATGGAGAAGCTCACAGCGTCCTCCTTGAAAATGGATTATAGGGGTGACAATAATAGTGAAGTGGAAAAGAAGTTTGTGTTGAATCCCGACAACTAATGCGCACTTCATTCTCAGGAGAAGTTGCTAAGACTTGCCTTTGTTTGGCCTTTTTTAAAAAGCTATTCTTTCTCTGACTGCTAAGAAGTGTGCAAAGACTCTCAGAGACAAGGGATTTGGCCCTTTATTTGCGTATTAACTTCAACAATAATCTGGGATGCAAGACCACCAAGACTCATCACAGTTTTTTGTGTCCACCCTTCATGGCAAGATATCAATTAATATTCACTTTAGTTTTTACACTAATAGGGAAAAAATGTCATTTTCGAGCTTGATTTTTTCTTTTATGTATGTGTTTTCCATGATATTGGAATAACAGGACATTGCAATGCTTTGTTTTTTATCAATATATATCAGGATATGAATACAATTTCACCAGATGACTTAAATAGCTCTGTTTGGTAAGAATTCTGGTATAGAAATTAAAATAACAAATGTAAAATAGCATTAAAATAGCATAAAATAGCAATAGTTTTCATGAATAAATGAGCGTAATAAGAGAGTTTAAAGCTTTCAGGCAAGAAATTGCAACGTTTGTAGCTTTATATATATATATCTTAATTTACAATGTAAGAAGCAAAATGATATAATTTATAAAAAGAAATGCAATAAAATTAATAAATCAGCTGTCTTCATCAAGCAAATGTTTAGATATTTCTGTAAGATATACATTTTTTAAACAATTAATGCCATGACTTATTGAATATATGCACGTTCTGCTTTGATCGAAATCTTTTTAAGTCTATTATTGGAGGTGAAGTGAATTGACATGAGATAGATAGAAGACCTGCTGAAACCCCGTTAACGTCGTTTAAAATCACAATCCTATGCATCATATAAATTTCACTTGTTGTCACTGAATTTGAGTTCCATTATTAATTTATAATCCCCCCATAATCCTTATAAAGTAAAAAACATTAATGATTTATTCTTTTTATTCTTTTTTTTATTAATTCCATCATGTTTTCTTCATACTTGGATTTCACTTCAGCATGAAATCGTGAAATTAATTATGATGTGAGTCACTGGAAAGAATATAGACACCTTGGACTTGAATGCTATGTGAAGCCATGTGTTGGCGTATTGAACTTTTATGTTCAGGTTTGATTGCTGTAGCAACAGCTTGTGATATTTACTTGTTGTAAATGGAAGAATTTTCTCATCAGTCATTTTACGACAAAGACAAGAGAGAAAGTCTAAGTGTTGCTAGGCATTTTAATGAAATATCCCAGTGAAGTGGCAAAGACAACATTTCACTAAAAGATCACCAAGGCCAACAGTAGTCTTGACCAAAATGGATGCATGAGGTTCATAATGCAAATGGATTTTTAATATAATGTTTGTTCTGTAGATGGAAATAAAAATATTAAAAGTTGTAATATTAAATATTATTAGTAATATTTACAAATTTCCATAAAATAATACTTTAAGTCCTTATGATATTTTTAAATCAATTTATAATATAGTAGAAAGTATAAAAATGCATTGAATTGTCAGAATAACAACATTTGAATTGACGATTCCATTTTTGTCCAATTTAAGCAATTGGATTTTGCATAATTGGCTAATCATTCCATAATGTCATACATGTATGACCTTGAAATAATGTTAAAATATTTAATATTAATTAAACGATGTATTTTTTTTGTTTTTCTTTAAATATTTAATAGTTTTTTTATTATTATTATTAGTCTTATTTTATCCTATATTATTGTATTTTACAATGAAAATGTTTCAATATGATCCTAGACTTTTGGACCTCACAGTGGTCAGCATTTTGCACATGAATAGATTTAAGTCTTCCCAAACGTCCTTCGTGTCTCCTCAGAGGACGCCTCATGCCCTCTAGTGATTAACTCCTGTAATGAGGAAGCTGTATTTCATCAGTAACCATATGCAAAGCTCCTCTTCACAGCCTGCAAGCACAGAGCCTTGTTTGTTTCCTTGCTTTGCCTATATATACCCCCTTGAGTGACAAACAGTATGAAATACAACATTCACATATGATATCCCGATGCCACAAAAGCTTTAAAAGACTTATTAAATCAGACCACAGAAGATTTAGGTAGATTTAATTACTGTATCTCCTACCTGGAACTATTTCAAAAAGATGCCGCCCGGGTTCATCAGGATTGGCTGTCAGCTCGTTGACTTGACTACCCTGCAACGGGATACATCCCTGGAGGAGGAAAAAAAGAAAGACTTTAAACTGTGAAAAGAGCTCCGAAGGGCACATTTTGTCTCCTACTGTGCCTTTCACTTATGCAACTTTTGATAAATATGAGCAAAGAAGGTTGAGAAAAATCGCTTTGTTGTTTAACCTTTTGATATTTTGCTCACAATGTTAACAAAACAAAATGATCTCATTGAGAATAAACAATTGCAAACACCGTTTTATCAAATAACAAATATATTTGTTAAATATACAGGGCACAATTGTTGGCACTCCAACTTTTAGTACACCTGGCAACATCTTATAAATACAAGCCAAGCTCACACAGTAATTCAACACAATAGATATGACCAAAGAACATCTTCAAAAAGATTGCTGAGCTTCACAATATAGGAGGTAGCTATAAGAACACAGCAGAAATACAAAAAAAAAAGCCTACTTCCACTCTCAGGGCAATAGAAGAAATTCCAGTCAATTGTACAGTAAGTATTATGAATGTTAAAGCAAAAAATCTCCCAACATAACCATCAGGACAATTAAAGAAATTTTATTGTAAATGTTTCAGTCAAGTGTAAGTGTAAGTTAAAAAATACCAAACAAAATGCCTATGTTTATCAGGGCAATAAAAGAAGTTCCAGTCAGTTTTTGTACAGTAAGTGTTATGAATGTTATGGCCAAATAATTTGTAAAATTCACCATCAGAACAATAAAGAAATTCCATTGTTTGTGTTTTAGTCAATTGTAAGTGCTAAGAAATACCAAACATTGCCCATTATTTCTACCATCAGGGCAATAAGAAAAATTCCAGGCAATTGTACAGTAAGTGTTATGAATGTTATGGCCAAAAGATCTCCAAATATCATCATCAGAAAAATTTAAGAAATTCCAGTGAATTGTAAGTTTTATGAATGTTACAGCCAAAATTGTTATGGGCAAAAATTCTCCATAAATCACAGCTGGAGAAATGCAGAAGTAAGTTGGATTTTGAGGTCAGAAAATCTCCAAAACTACAGTCCAGTGTCATTACATCACCACAAACAAAAAAATCCTTACTCTCAACATAAAACAAAAGTTCTAAAGGAGCGTGAATATAGCATAGCCTCCACTAATTTAGTTTTTTGTTAATATTTTGTGCAAAAGCTCAGGTAAGGGATAATCTAAAGTTGAAGTCAGAATTATTAGCCCTCCTATTAAATTTTAATTCTTTTATTTTTGTCCACAATTTCTGTTTAAGAGACTTTTTCCACACATTTCTAAACAAAATAGTTTTACTAAAATAATTTCTAACAACCCATTTAATTTCTAACAACCAATTTATTTTCCTTTTTCTTTTCTTTATTATTAATTTCTTTGCCATGATGACATTACGAAATATTTTACTAGATATTTTTCAAGATGCTACAAGGTTTCTGTGGGGTCTTAAAAAGTCTTAAAATGTCTTAAATCTCAAAATCCAAATTTTAGGCCTTAAAAAGTCTTAAATGTACTGAAATACTGTGTTGTAGGTCTTAATCTTTTTTAAACAGGTCTTAATTTTCCAGTGTTCATGTATTGCTACCCAATCTGGCCAAAACCCATACAATCACCAACAAACCAGCTCAATAAAACTTTAAACTTTTTATTTAAAAAGGTCATTTTAAACTCTATTTATCATAATGGTTTAATTATTTTCCCTACAATAACATTTGCTTAAAAGTTTTCCTTATATTTACTGCTGAGGACACCAACCTGGACAGATTGTTGTCCATAGATTTATTTTATTACAGTTTTTAAAACTTTTAAAACATTTGTTAATTTTTTATTTTAAAGAAGTTTATGTGGGAAAAAAAGTGTATGGATATAAGTAGAGCTTGCTTGTTTTACATAATATTTAAAATACTTAGCTAAGAAATAAAATCTAAAATAATTTAGTTGTTTATTATTAATGTATTATTAGTATTAAAGGATAATAGGTCAATTAAAAATCTTTTCCATCTGGGTCATTTGAAAAATTTCATAGCCTTTAGCGCTTTATGAGTCTAAAATTTTATTCATAAGGGTTTTAAAAATGTCTTAAGTCTTAAATTTAATGAAACCTGCAGAAACTCTATTCAGCTTAAAGTGCAATTCAAAGGCTTAACTAAATTAATTAGGTTCATTAGGCAAGTCATTGTATAATAGTGGTTAAGAGGGCTAATAATGACCTTAAAATTGTTTTAAAAAATGCTTTTAATCCAGCTTAAAAAGAACAAATAAGAAAAAAATATTATCAGAAAAACTGTGACATTTTTCTTGCTCCATTAAATATCACTTGAGAATTATTTAAAAAAACAATATATTTCACAGGAGCGCTAATAATTTTCCCTCAACTGTACATGTAGGTGGTTGTTCTCGTAGAATAACATGCGACAGGCTTATAAGCAGCTGTTGTCCTAGACCAAAGTTTATTATCGTACGAAAACAACCAGCTAGATATACATCATACCACTTTGTTAAACCGCTCCTTGCCACAAAACTAAACAATTAGACACAAAAATTGATTTGAGCATAATAATTTATTACCTTTTCAATTACACATAAAACTGACAGGAAAAAAAAGGCAGAATTATTCCTACACCAATTTACTTATTTTTCAGTGACAAGATGACGCCAAACAAGTCAAAAACTGTGGCGGGAAAGATAACAGTATAAATGTGATATGAATTTATCCACTTATGGTCAAGATGTTTTAAAGTAATCGGATGAGTTTTATTCGTTTTTAGAAGTTGTTATCTTAGAATAACTTTATCTTTGGAATGTCATTATTGTACAATTAGAAGTATTCAGGAAAGCAGTGTAATAAAAAAAAAGAAAGTAAAACAATAAAGACATTTCCATTGCTTATTATACTCATATTTACCAAGGGTGCCCATATTAGTGAAGGCCATGCTATATTCTTGCTGCTTTAGAACCTCCTAACCTTTTACACCACGAAATCATTAGCTGAATAAACAATTTCTCTTCGGGGATAAATAGAGATTAGTGTTTCATTAGGCTATTTAATTTGATAATTGATTCGCAGTGCTAATAATGGCCCGCAAGGCTCACCTTCAGGACAGATAAGGCGGTGTGGGATTATAGTCTCTGTTGTTTGCCTGGCCCAATTTTACGCTGTAATCAGCAATGCTGAGTCATGCATAATTAGACCCA